GTGTGTGTGTGTGTGTGTGTGTGTGTGTGTGTGCGCCGATACCTCTTTCTTTGTCTGTATGACAGGAATTTCTGTGTAAAAATACAAAGAAAGAATTTCCCGGCAGAGAGGAAAGTGAACTTTGAAACCGCCTGCAGCGAGGAGCACGACCTTTAGATGCCTACACAGCTGTAGAAACGATTTTCAGTCAGAAATTCCTAGTAAATTTCACAAATAATTACAAGTATATTAAAAAAAATTAATTTAAGATTTACGCAATTTAATGAATTTCGATGTAATTTTAATGTCATTTCATCAAATTGCATTGAATAATCCTCACGTATCTTAAATGCTACTAACACTCTTTGCGCCACTCTAACATCTTGCTTGGACAACTTTTGTCCCCTTTCATCCAGACTAGCACGCACCTTCCCCTCTGCCCCCTGACTGTCCGATGCTTCGTGAACATCGCTCTAGACTCAGGGCTGCGGAGAGAAAAAAACTCTACTGATCTTAGTTTGTATCAGTCACTCCTCTCTTCCTTCTCTGCAAATGTCTCCACTGCAAAAACAACATACTACCACAACAAAATTAACAATTGTTCTGACTCTCACACACTTTTTAAAACCTTCTTTTCTCTTCTCTTCTCTGTCCTCAGTTACTCGGTTACTCTCGGGTGGTTCAAGTCTTACCTGTGAGTACGTCACACTTGATGACATTTTTGCAGATGAAGTCAAGAAAGACTAATTTAATTTAATGTGTAAGGTGTGATTCTGATTATTTATATGTATGTACTTGTCATATACTGTATATTAGGAAATTGATAGTTGCAGTAATATTGCATTAAATTGCTCAGAAATTACAGTAAAGACATTTAGCCTATAATGTTACATAAGATTTATATTACAAATAAATGGTGTTCTTCAAACTGTTCTTCTGATCTTCTTATAATATATAACTGTTATTTTGTATTTGATGAAGTTTCTGTAATACAGCTCCTGTACTGGTTAAACATCAAGTGTGATGAAGAGAAACATGCAAGAAATGTTTCAGTTTAATGTGTCATAATTGCATTTTTACTTGTAAGAATTTGGTTAGAGGGAATTATTATTATTAAAAACACTATTATGGTGGGTTCAGGCCCATTCACACTAAGAATAAAAACTATAATGATGACTATAATCATAATATTATGTTTATTCTACAAGCATACGTTAGTTATTTTCTGTAAATGTAATTGCAGCTTTAATCCTCCTGTTGGTTTCCATGCAATTTGTCAGAATTCAACACTATGGAAAAAAAGCTAAAGATTCATTTAAAATCAGAAAACCTCTATAGCTTTTCAGAGATTAAAAATGTAAAATATGGGAAATTATGAACTGCTTTATTTGTGTTAGGGGCAATTTGACCCACATATTTTTATGTTCAAAATTAGCTGATTATTTGCACACAGACACAAAATAGGTGAATATTCAAAACTGAGTCATCTTGAGTCTTTAATTTCGAGTAAACTTTTGAGTCTTTAAGTTCTCATGTATGTACAGCCTTTCCAAAATACATCAAAACTATGTGTCGACTTTGCATTCAGATTCATGACTAATTGACTAAAAGGGAGAAATTATACAGGTATACATCATTTTGAAAAATCCCTTTTTTTTCCCCTTTTTTTTTTTTACAGTATTTTTTGCCACCAGCAGTGATGCCACATCCATTTTGTGCTTGTGAATGCTGCTGCTTTAAGTGGCTATTAAGACGCGTGTAAAGTACAGTTTGGTAACACTTTATTTCGATAGTCCACTTTAGACATTCTATGAAAAGTAAAACTTTGCAACTACATGTCAACTAGCAGTTAGCAGAGTATCAGTAGACTGTCTGCTTAATATCTTCTAACACTTTCTTTGTCAACTTATTCTACTAACCCTAAACCTACCCTAACAGTCTACTCTGAGAGTTAGTAGACATGTAGTTGCAAATTATGAGAATTAGTTGACATGTAGTTACAAAGTTACTTATAGTTAATAGAATGTCTAAAGTGGACTATCGAAATAAAGTGTAACCTACAGTTTTAAGAGATTTCTTGGGTTCTGAGAACTTTTTACACTGTAACATTTTTTTCACCAATTACTGAAGTACTTTTTACTTCAAAATTCATGTTTAATTTAAAGTTACTTGTGATTTTTTGTGAAATTTACTAGACATTTCTGAGTGAAAATGGTTTCTGCACCAACTTTTCCAGAGTACAATGGCACAATAACAAGAAATAAATTCACAGTTGTGAGATGTACAGTAAAGTCTATTTTACTATGAAAAAAATTCTAAAACCGGACCAAAACTTTTGATTTGTACACTGTAAAATGTTTTATTTATTTATTGAGAAGTTGTAAGTAAATCAAGTTTTAGAAGAAAGTGCTAGGTTGGAAATGTGGAGGTGAAAGAGAGCATACATGTCAGAGCATTCATGCTCCTTGTATCTCAGAATGTTTATTGGATAATTCATAAAGATAATCATAGTTTCGGTGTCACATGACCTTATGCCTATACAAAAATTGTTTGCCAGATATTGTCGGGCTGTTGCAATAGCAATTTTTAATTAATTAATTTTTAATCATAGCAGAGGT